CTGCTGTTAGGTCCATACCATTTCTGTCCTTTCTTGTGCCCTTCTTCGCCAAAGGTATTCCCTTGGTATCTCTGATTTTCTTGAAGAGATCTCTAGTCTTTATCATTTCATTGCTTTTCTCTATTTCTGTGCGTTGTTCCTTTTAGAAGGCTTTCTTACCTCTTCTTCCTATTCTTTGGAACTCTGCATTCAGATGGATATATCTTTCCCTTTCTCCTTTGCTTTTTGCTTCTCTTCTTTTCTCAGCTATTTGGAAGGCCTTCTCAGAAACTGCTTTGCCTTGTTCCACTTCTTTTTCTTGGAGATGGTTTTGGTCACCACCTCCTGTACAGAGTTACAAACCTCCATCCATAGTTCTTCAGGCACTCTTTCTATCAGAACTAATCCCCTGAATCTATTTGTCACCTTCACTGTATAATCATAAGGAATTTGATTTAGGCCATACTTGATTGGCCTGGTGGTTTTCCCTACTTTCTTCAATTTGACCCTGAATTTTGCAGTAAGGAGCTGATGAGCTGAGTCACAGTCAGCTCCAGGTCTTGTTTTTTCTGACTGTGTAGAGCTTCTCCTGGAGGAGGAAATGGCAACCCCTGTCCACCCCACCCCCAGTATTCTTGCCTGGAAGTTAGATGGACAGAGGAGACTTGTGAGCTACAATCCATGGGGTGGCAGAGTTGGATAGGACTGAGCTCTGAGGACCACCATAGAGTTTCTGTCTTCGTCTACAAAACATATATTAGATATATTAACAATTTATTAAGTTTATTTGTTTCCAAACTGAATTTGTGTCGGAGAAATTGAACTTCAGACGTGCTGGGACTGCCCAGCACCCTTTTCTGCAGCAGCGTTCAGACAGCGATCTGAGGCTGCACTGGGGTCAGCAAGGCTCTGAGGCCCCAGGGCGCCCGGACAGACTCTGCACACCCAGAATAAACTCCTTGCACACCTAGAGACAGGATGCTCCCTTCCCCACAGGGGAGATCTGCAGGGTGACCCAGACTGATCCTCCCTGAGTCAGCCCCTGCTTGGCCCTTCCTGACTGGGCCAGTCTCGGGTAAGCTGAGGTGAGAGGAGGCAGAGATGGAGGAGGAGGAGGGCCAGACGATGACCAGCTAACAGGAGCTTGGAAAGCACCTGCCCCTGCTCTGCCGGCTCAGTGCCTGCTGTCCCGGGTGCAGCGGGGCCCTGAGTCACAGGCAGGGCAGCACGGCCAGGAGGCGACCTGGCCTGGGCTGGGACCCGGGCTGCGGAGACCCAGAAGCTGGAGCAGCTCTTCAAGGATGTGGTCCCAGCAAGCTGGGGATGTGCAAGCTCCTAGAAGGGAGGGCGAAATCCCTGGGAGGGAGCAATGTAGTTGGTAGGAAGGGGAAGCCCCTGGTAGGAAGGGGAAGCTCCTGGAATGAAGGGGGAAGCCTCTGGTAGGACACTAAAGGTCCCTGGAAGAAAGATGGAAGGCCCTGGTAGGAAGGAGGAAGCTTCTGATAGGTAGGAAGAATCCCTTGGTTAGAAGCAGGAAGCCCCTGGGCAGGAAGAGGAAGCCCTTGGTAGGATGGGGGAAACCTCTAATAGGAAAGGGGAAGCCCCTGGTACAAAGTGGGAAACCCCTGTGAGGGAAGGGGAAGCCCCTGGTAGCAAAGGAGAAGACCCTGGAAGAAGGGGAATTCCATGCTAAAAGGGGGGAGTTGCTGGTTAGGAGGATGAAGCCCCTAGTGGGAAGGGGGATATCCCTGACACAAAGGGGAAGACCCTGTTAGGGTGCTGAAGTCCCTGGAGAAAAGATGAAAGCCACTAGTAGGAAGGGGGAAACCCCCATTGGGATTTGGGGTTGCAAAACTACACAGAAGAACTACACCAAAAAGATGAATGATCCAGATAACCATGATCGTATGATCACTCATCTACAGCCAGACACCCTGGAATGTGAAGTCAAGTGGGCCTTAGGAGCATCACTAGGAATGAAGCTAGTGGAGGTGTTGGAATTCCAGCTGAGCTTTTTCAGATCCTAAATGATGATGCTGTGAAAATGCTGCACCCAAGATACCAGCAAATTTGGAAAACAGCAGTGGCAACAGGAATGGAAAAAATCAGTTTTTCATTCCATCCCCAAAGAAGGCCAATACCAAAGAATATTCAAACTACTGCACAATTGCACTCATTTCCAATGCTAGCAAAGTAATGCTCAAAATTCTTCAAGTCAGGATTCAGCAGTATGTGAACCAAGAACTTCCAGATGTTCAAGCAGGATTCAGAAAAGGCAGAGGAACCAGAGATCAAATTGGCAACATCCATAGGATCATAGAGAAAGCTAGATAATTCCAGAAAAGCATCTACTTTTGCTTCCTTGATTATCTAAAGCCTTTGACTGTGTGAATCACAACAAATTGTTGAAAATTCTCAAAGAGATGGGAATACCAGACCACCTTACCTGCCTCCTGAGAAATCTGTATGCAGGTCAAGAATCAACAGTTAGAACTGGACATGAACATGGAACAACAGACTGGTTCCAAATTGGGAAAGTAGTATATAAAGGCTGTATACTGTCACCCTGCTTATTTAACTTATATCTAGAGTAAATGATGCGAAATGCCAGATGGATGTAGCACAAGATGGAAATAAAGATTTCTGGAAGAAATATCAATCGCTTCAGATATGCACATGACACACCCTAATGGTAGAAAGTGAAGAGGAACTAAAGAGCCTCTTGATGAAGGTGAAAGAGTGAAAGAGCTGGCTTAAAATTCAACATTCTGGAGAAGGAAATGGCAACCCACTCCAGTATTCTTGCCTGGAAAAGTCCATGGACAGAGGAGCCTGGCGGGCTGCAGTCCATGGGGTTACATGACTGAACATGTGTGCACGAGGGTGGAGGGAGATGGGCTGGTAGCAATAAAGTGGTAGAACTAAAAAAAAAAAAAATCAAAAATCAAAGATCATGGCATCTGTTCCCATCACTTCACGGCAAATAGATGGGAAACAATGGAAACAGTGACAGACTTTATTTTCTTGGGCTGAGTACAGTGACTGCAGCCATGAAATTAAAAGATGCTTGCTCCTTGGAAGAAAAGCTATGACAAACCTAGACACTTATTAAATGGCAGAGACAATACTTTGCCTGGGTGGCAGGGGGAACCCCCTGAGATGGACAAGTAGCCCCTAGTTGGGAGGCAGGTGGTAAGAATACACAGAAGAACTATGCAAAATAGATGTTAATGACCTGGATAACCATGATGGTGTGATCACTCACCTAGAGTCAGATATCCTGGAGTGCGAAGTCAAGTGGGTCTTAGGAAACATCACTAGGAACAAAGCTAGTGGAGATGATGGAATTCCTGCTGAGCTATTTCAAATACCTAAAGATGATGCTCTTAAAGTGCTGCACTCAAGATGCCAGCAAAATTGGAAAACTGAGCAGTGGCCACAGGACTGGAAAGGGTCAGTTTTCATTCCAGTCCCAAAGAAGGGCAACACCAGTTTGGACTATAAAGAAAGCTGAGCACTGAGGATTTGATGTTTTTGAACTGTGGTGCTAGAGAAGCCTCTTGAGAGTCCCTTGGACTGCAAGAAGATCCAATCAGTCCATCCTAAAGAAGATCAGTTTTGAATGTTCATTGTAAGGACTGATGCTGAAGCTGAAGCTCCAATACTTTGGCCACCTGAGGCGAAGAACTGACTCATTTGAAAAGACCCTGATGCTGGGAAAGATTGATGGCAGGAGGAGAGGGGGATGACAGAGGATGAGATGGTTGGATGGTATCACCAACTCAATGGACATGAGTTTGAGCGAACTCTGGGAGAAAGTGAAGGACAGGGAAGTCTGGAGTGCTGTAGTCCATGGGGTCACAAAGGGTCAGACACAACTGAGTGACTGAGCAACAAGCCCCCAGTTGGGAGGGGGAAGGCCCTGGGAGGGAGGAGGCGTCCCTGCAGGAATGCTCGGACCCTATGTGCTCAGTGTCCCTTTTATGCACTTGGGGTCCGATGGGTCAGCTGAAACCCTGAGCTGCATGGGCTGGGTTTCCAGACCACAGGGGCCTTGGAGGGTGCTCTGCCTGAACTCAACCCCTTGGTTAGGGACCCAAACACAGGAGGGCAGGGCCAGGTTCACCCCGGCCACAGCTGGAGTTTCGGGTCATTGTGGGGGCTCGGGTGCAGCCATCAGCCATGTACCTGTGTGGGTGACGGTTAGGATGGCTGCCCCGCAGGACCCTGGGGAGGGTACCCTGTCCACTCCCCACCCCTGAGCTTCCAGAGGATGCCCAGCCTGGAGGCCTCAGAGCACGGACCCAGGTCCTCAGGCAGGTGCCCTGCCCCCTCCATCTGCTTGCCAAGAGCCTGGCCCACAAGGCTGGGGGCTGCCGCCCCGCCCCTCACCGGGCTGACACAGAGTCCGTCCCTCTGGAACGGCTGTGACCCATGCCTTGTCACCGTCCCCAGGGCCTCCTGCTGGCTCCAGCCTGGCTCACCTCTGCCCAAGCACCACCAGCTCTGTCCCCGCCGGAAGTTCCCAGATGGGGAGCCGGGGGCCTGCGTCTCCTCGAGAGGCCCAGGTGGCCGTGATGGACCCAAGGTCACTCCACCGCCAGAGGCGGAGATGCAGCCATCTGGTCTCCTTGGCTCCCCCTCGCCCCCCCACTGTGCCACCTGGAATGTCAGCTCAAGGAGCCGCTGGCCTCCAGACAGAACACCGCCCCCACCCCCCACCCCCACCCCACCCCACCCCACCCCCCCGCCTGGCTCTCCCGGGGCCAGAGGAACATTTTCATAACGAGAGGATTTGAAGTGGCTCAGACAGCCCTGAGCCCAGCCTTGGCACAGTCCGTGGATGTGGAGATCTGGGAGCAGGGAGGGGCCCACATGCAGGACAGGGGGAAGACCAGGCCCCAGGGGAAGAGCTCAGGAGGGCTTCCTGGAGGAACTGTCCCCTCAGTGAGGCTTGGCAGGCACCCCCAAGGCTGTGGTCTGACCTCCAAGGAGGCAGTGGAGCCTCTTCCCTCAGGGATATGAGGCCCAGGACCGGAAGAGAGACAGGAGACGTGAGACTGGGCAGGCAGGCCGACCAGGAGCAAGGCTGGCCCCGGCCGAGCTGGGCTCTGAGCCACGTCCCCCACCCAGGTGGCTGGGTGGACGAGAGAGAGGCTGATGGGCTGACAATGGGCCCCGGGCAGCGGGACAGGCAGGGGCTGAGGGCCGCGGGCGCTGCCCTGTCCATGCCTCCTCAGGGAAGGTGCCACCTGCAGGACCCAGTTCACCTGCCTGAAGGCGGGGGCTGTGTGTGGCTGCTGCAGGCACCTTGGCCGGGTCACCCCGCAGGCTGTGTGGCCGGGAGCCATCCTGTGACCCTGCCTCTGTTTCCTCATCTGTGAAATGGGGATGCAGGCGGTCTCCCCACCTGGTGAGTGAGGACGGAGGGAGGTATGTGTGTGCAGCTCCCGGGTAGCTGTCCCCTCATCTGGGCGACCTGAGCCCCCAGCCTGGTTCCCACCCTCAGGTATTTCCCAGGCGAGGCCTCTGTCACCTGAGTGGAGAGGTGGCCGCAGGTGGGCTCAAGGGCTGGGAGGGCCTGAAACCAGCGATCCTGGAACACAAGTCACATGGACGTCTCACTCTTGATGGAGGAGGAGGAATCTCCGGACGCAGAATAAACAGTGCTTATTAAAGTGGCTTCACAGAGAAGCTTCTGACCAAGGGCCTGGAGCAGGACAGAGCTTGGGACACAAGGAACGAGACACCCACCTGCAAAGCAGGGGGCCATGGCTCCTCTGGCCAGCCAGCCAGCTGGGAGAGCCACCCTCAGGCCTTGTCCCCATCTGTAAGTCAGTTATGAGCCACCATGGGAGGTGAGCACCGCACCCGCCAGGCACAGAGCAAACGCTGCCTGAGCATGTCACTCGTGTCACTGCTGCTTTACTGTGACCCTGATGCTGGGAAAGACTGAGGGCAGGAGGAGAAGGGAGCGACAGGATGAGATGGTTGGATGGCATCACCGACTCAATGGACATGAGCTTAAGCAAGCTCTGGGAGGTGGTGAAGGACAGGGAGGCCTGGCGTGCTGCCGTCCACGGGGTCGCAGAGTCGGACACGACTGAGCCACTGAACACACCACACAGAGCACTCGCCGTGTTCACCGTTTAAAGAGTCCAAGTTGGCAGCATCTATTACATTCACCTAGTTCCGGAACTTTCTCGTCCCCCATCCCTATTAGCACTCACTCCCGGCCCCTCCCCCAGCCCCTGGCACCCCCTGCTCCGCATTCTGTCTGTGGGTCTCCAGGTTCTGGGTGTTCCCTGTGAATGGAAACACAGATGTTTGTCCTTTGACATCTGGCTCCTTTTGCTGCACAGTTTCAAGGTTCATCCAGGCTGTGGCCTGTGTCCATGCTTCACTCCTTTTCATAGCTGAGTAATATTCCGCCACGTGGATTATCCTCATCGCTGGTGGGCATTTGGATTGTTTCCACCTTTAAGCTGTTGTGAACATAGGTTTCAGGCTTTTAGTTGAACACTACTTTCAATTCTTTAGGGTATGTTATTGTTTTTATTACCCAGACGCCACCTGAAAGTAATAAAAATCTGATGGGCTGCCCGCCACCATCACACCCCCATGAGTTTGAAACCCAGCACAGGTGGGGCTGTCACGTGGGCCCAGCCAGTCGGGTCAGTTCTTCCGGAAGTGGTTGGGCATGTGACATGAAGAGATGCTCCTGCACTCAACATGGCACTTCCAGCCCCCAAAATCCAGTCCCAGGAAAGATTGCAACTAAGAGGGAAGCTTTAAACAGAAGTAAAAAGTCACCTGTACCAAGCTGCACAGTGATGGAGTTTATCATCAGAACAAAGCAGAAAGAAGCGGTGTATCCAACAGTCAGATCGCTGCAGCGACAAGGAAGACACAAGCATGTCCTTGAAGGACACAAGCGTCTGGGATCTGGACGCAGATGAGTGAGGCCTGAGACGTGTCCATGGAACAGAGAGCGCTGAGACACAGGCAAGCTTTAATCCTAGCCCGGGGCAGCACGGCTGTTCTTCTCACAGGGAGGGAGCTCCCCATCTCTGGAGGAGTTCAAGCAGTCAGGTGTGGGGATGTGGGGTTGAAGCCTGGAACCAGAATGGACAGGCCCTCTGTGACACCTCAGGGCACTCTTACTGCCCAGTGCAAGGACACTAGTGCGGAGTAGGCACAGGAGCCGGACCTGGAGTCCGCCTCCAGGGGCTGGACAGAGGCGGCAGCACCAAGGGGGGGCCCACCCTGATCCCCACGGCCCTCCATCCATGGTCCAGCTCACCTGGACCCCGTCTGCCTGCCCCGCGGAATGGCAGAAGGACGGGGGTTGCTGGGGGACACTGCTTCTCAGCTGGGGACCTGCCGCCTCCGAGGTCGGGGTGTGCCCGGTGCACAGGAGCCTGGACAACAGGGGTCTTCTCCTCACGGCTGGAGCCAGACCCCAAGTCCTGTCTCTGCACAGGGTAGCTCGGGAGAGGCCCCAGCATCCCCTGGAAGCTGGGTGAAGCCCTGTGCTCTGCTCAATAACACAGGAGCAGAAGTGACCCAAGTCACTCACGGGCAGAGAGTCAAAGAGCTGGTGCTGGTTCTCCTTCTGCCCTGACCCTGCTGGGTGGCCACCAACATGTCCCTGAGCAAGGATGGTGTGGGGCAAGCCCTGGACAGCCCGCCAGGGACCGAAATGCCTTTGCTGTGGGAAGTCACCACAATGACCAGAGCTGTCACTGTAGCAAAACCAGGACCTGGGTCACCCCAGGCTTCAGCACCCATCCTGGGATGCTCTCCACCCCGCTTCCTGCAGACTCACCCCTCCTCCAGGAAGTCTGCTCTGATTGCCTCCAGCAGTCTGAATTGACTCAGGAGCTCCTCGGTCCTCTCCAGCAGTCCAGAGTCAGGGCCACACCCGGTATTCACAAACTTTTGCTTGAGTAAAAGGAACTCAGACTCAGCTAAGGAAACAAGAAGCCAGCTTGAGGTGTGTGCAAGGAGAGAGGAGATGCTCCAGAGGCAGAGAGTGTACAAAGGGGTCCGATGGGCAACTCACAACACTCTTAGGTTTGAGCCACCTCCTGCCCACCAGCTAAACATCAGTTCAATTCAGTTCAGCCGCTCAGCCCTGTCCGACTCTTTGCAACCCCATGGACTGCTGCACGCCAGGCTTCCCTGTCCATCACCAACTCCTGGAGTTTACTCAAACTCATGTCCATTGAGTCGGTGATGCCATCCAACCACCTCATCCTCTGTCATCCCCTTCTCCTCCTGCCTTCAATCTTTCCCAGCATCAGGGTCTTTTCTAATGAGTCGGTTCTTTGCATCAGGTGGCCAAAGTATTGGAGCTTCAGCTTCAATATAACCAGCATTAACATCACTTGCATTAAAAAAACAAATCCAACAGTAATGAGCAAACCAGACAAAAATTGCCCTACCCACTAGGATTTCCGAGGCCCCTGGTGGATATTAGCTAGTAGGTTTCAAGGCTGACAAACCAAATGTCATCTGGGGTCACATTAAAAGATGTATATGTTCCCAAATGAGGGAGGTTATCATCCTACTACCTCACTCAGCTCTGGCCACACGTGTGGGAGATTGGAAGAGACTATTCTGGGGTTGAGGCTCTTGGCTAAGTCCAGGGCAGAGTAGCCAGCAAGGGCAGGATTGACACCACCTCCCCCAGGGGAAGGGTCTCTGGAAGCACAACTTTGAGAAGAGGGTTCAAAGGATGGCTGAGCATCAACAACTGCCCCCCACCCTGCTACATTTAATTCGGCCCCTAAAGTCTTGCTGTGCACGGACCCACCTTCTAACAGCGCCTTGAAGGTGCTCCTTGGGGTCTGACCCCCATGTGTGTCCTTCACGCCCCTCACCCTGGGGAACCTGCTGACCCAGCTGTAGACTCTTTAGGCCCGCTGGGGGCGGGGGGGGCTGTGTGTGCTGAGTGGGCTCCTAAGCTGACTCAGTCATCCTCGACCCACCTCCCCCCTCCCAGTCCAAGAGTTTCTGCAAGAACAGCCAAATCCCTGACTTATCAGCTCAGCTTTATCTCCAAAACCTCCTACAATTTCCCAGAGAACAAAATTAAATACAGGATTTAGGGGAGATTTTGCGTCTGCGTGAGCAGGGCCAGAAACAGGCTGACATGACGAGGCCGCTGATGGCCGGAGGCCGAGGGCGGGCGGGCAGCGAGGCTGCCCAGCTCAGCCTCCACCTGGCTGTGCTCAGCGGCCACGTGCAGAGTCACAGGCCCTTGAACCCATGTTCCCCTTCTACACCGCCCCCACCTCATCACCCTAGAGAGCCTTCCAGAACTCCACAGAGGCTCCATCACCTGGGCCTTGACGTCCGGCGTGGATGTTAGGGGCGGACACACGCATGGTCCAGGGCAGGATTCAACGTACCTCCCACCCAGTCCTTTCCCGGGCGAGGAAGCTGAGGCTGGGGGAGGTGAGGGCATCTCCGGATCACAGAGCCCAGTCAGCAGTGCGGCTGGGAGTGGCCTCAGGGAGGCTCCTGGGGGTCCCTGAGCTCGTAGCATCCCCAGGGACACCCCTGCACATGGCTTGGAGCGCTGCCCATGTGCCCTCACAGACGTGCCAGGGGTGGGTTGAGGGGTGACAGGGGGTCTGGGGTCTGGACCCTGGCCCACCACCGCTCTGTCCCTGTGATAAGCCATGCCCCTGAGCATCAAGGGACTGTGCCCCTGAGCATCATGGGACTATGAGTCCTGAAGATTCTCGGAAGCTCAGGGTGGTCTCAGAGACCCAGACTTGCAGCAGGGTCAGGAGTGAGGGCCTTAGGGTGGTCCTTAACTTGGCAGTCCCCTACAGGCTGACGGGTGGAAGCCGGTGGGCCTGGCAGGGAGCCTGGGGGCAGGGAGGGGCGCCCGCCTGGCCTGCCGGCCCACCACCTGTCCAGACTCCTTGCCCCCAGGCTGGCGCCCACCACCACGAGCTCCGCTGGCCTCAAAAGGGCTGTGGGCTCTAGCACCTTCATCCTGTCACCTCTTAGCCAGACTGGGCCTGGCCGAGCCCTGTGGAAGTGACTGGACTGACTGGCAATGGTCCTCCGTGTCCTGGAGGCCCTGGTCCCTGGGGGGCAGGTGTGGGGTCACGGCGGAGGTGGTGGGGTGCAGCACATCAAGCCCCGAGCGGTTCTGGGGCCTGCCCAGCCCCCACTGGTTGGGCAACTTTGCCTCTCTAACGGGAATAACCGGACTCGGGGGCCTTTGCGGGGAGGACGGGTGATGATGAGTAGCCGGGCTGAGGCGTCCCCGGGGCATAGGTGTGGTTGGGCCCCAGGGCTATTTGGACGCTGTTAGTGCTGGGCCCTGAGCCCCGGCCAAGCCCTGGGTCTCGGGCTCTGGGGCTGGCTGTCCTGGACATCCTAAACTTTGACAGGTCTCAGGGCTGCTCACATCCCTCCCCACTTTATACCTCTGCAACCCCAGGGGAAAAAATGAGTGGGGGTCCCGGAGCAGCCAGGGGGCACGCCGCATCCCTGGCTGACCCTGAGTGGAGACAGTGAGGTCCCTGGGGACAGGGCCTGGAGGGGCCTTGAGGGGTCCCCTCTCCCCCTCTGCACGGGGTGCCTTCCCCCCGCAAACTCAGCTGGCCTGTCCCCAAGGGGGGCACCACGCTCCCCACCCCCATTTTCGAAACCCCTTGCAGGCGTGGCCCCAGTGACCTTGGGCGGTCCGGCGGAGAGTCAGCGGGGGGAGCCGCCTCTGATGTTAAGAGGCTCCAGTGACATCAGCTGCAAGTGCTTTTGTGGGCAATCGAGCCGATTAGGGGTGTGCGGGCTCCAGATAAGAGCCCAGGTCACTCAGAGGGCAGACGCAGAGGAGGACCAGTGCAAACGCATACTCTCCACCCAATCCCTGCCTGCTGCCCACCTCCCCCACCCCCCGCCCAGCCCCCTGGAGGCTCCCATCAAGGGCATGAAGCTCAGTCCTCCCAGACGAGCCCTCATCTGGCCTGAGTGCTGTGTGACCGCTGGCAAACCCCTAACCTCTCTGTGACTTGTCTGCAAACTGGAGGCATGGTCTGCCATCAGTGATTATGAAGGGGTGTCCGGCTCTCTGCCTGGCAGGCTACAGGCCACGGTGGGCCGGGGGCTCCTGTCCTCTCATGCAGGGGACTTCGGGACTCATCAGGGAGGATGGTGAAGTCTGACGCTCCCCAGGGGGCCGGCAGTGGGGTCTGGGCTACACTACGGCCCCCGTCAGACAACAGGGGTCAGGGTCCAACATGCAGTGTGACAGGAGGTCCCCAGGCCCCAAACATTCCCACACAGGAGTCTCCAGGAGACCTTCACATCACATTTCTGTGGGACCGCCCTCATATCCCCCTTGTAGCAGCAGTTTTCAGCGGGGGGATTCTGTCCAAGGGACCCTTTGCAACGTCTGAAAGCATTCGTGGTCCTCATGATGGCCTGGGAAGGGGCCCACCGGCATCCTGTGGGTAGCAGCCAGTGGCTCTGGTTACCTCCTCAGCACCCACCCCCACCACTGGCTGCATCAAGCGGATGGGTTGAGGGGGAGGTCCTGCCCTGGAAGGAGCCTGGCTCTTCCTGCTGGCCATCCTGAGCACAAGCCTTCCTCTCTCTCTCAGACCACACTTTTCCAGCAGGAAAGAGGAGCTGGCGCCACCCCCCACCCCCAGCATCCTTGGCCAAGGGCATCCCAAGAACATCTGAAGGGACATCCGGCCCCAGGAGGTGCCAGGAGCCAGAGGCCCCAGAGGGGACGCAAATAGCCCCAGTGCAGCCCCCCAGGGGCCGCAGCGGCAGGCTGGGCTCCACCCAGCACTCAGCCCAAAGAGCCCTGAAAATAGATAGAGGACGCGGCTAGGCGCATACCGAACCCCAAAGGCCCTCACGGCAGCAGCGGACGTGGCGTGGAGCCACTTAGCTGAGAACCAGGACCACTCAGTGTCTCCAAGAGGGAGCAAGCGGCCGGTTAAGTGCTTGGAGGAGGGGGGCAAGGTCACCGCCGGGCCTGGCCAAGGGGGCGGCTGCAGGCCTGCCTGCCCTCCTCTGTCTGCCTACTGCCCCCACGCCAGCACCCCCAGCCTCCCCACAAGGCCCCCCACACCTGCACCCACTGCCCTGCCCCAGACCATGTGCGCTCTCTGCCGAGGGCCCTTGCCCAGCCGGTTTCCCAAGCTCAGGGGCCAGGGTGAGGGTCCCCAGGTAATGTTTGCGTTCCTGTTTTACCTCCTCGATTCCTCTGGTCTCTGGGGCTGTGGAAGCGACCCCAGGAGTAAATTCAGCTCCCCAGGCAGATAGGCCCAGGCAAGCTGGGTCACTTGTGTCACTGGCCTGGGCCCGCCGGGGGTGGGGCGGTGGGCTGCAGAGGTCAGTGCAGAGTCTGACAGGGATGGGCCCCCAGGAGGAGGGGGCTTGGTAGCTGCCCTCTGAACTCCAGGTGCTCCCCAAGCTGGGAGACCATCCAGGGAACTGTCCTCTAGACTGTCCTGGAGGACCAAGTTTTGGGGGCCATGCAGGCATGAGGAGGCCCCCGACCCAGGCCCTGAGCCCATTGGAGGCCAGGGGGGGCCCCAAGGTGGGCCTGCCAAGGTCAGAGCCTTCTGTCTCCCGTCTCTGCTCGGCCAGGCACCTCTGGGAGCTGACAGTCCCAAGGCCAGGAAGGATGGTGGGCAATGCAGCCCGGGTGGGACTCCCCCAACCCCACCCAGCAACCCGCACCTGCCCACGGCAGAGTCACCCTGGGAGCACCCAGTGTGTGCCCAGAGCTCCAGTAGTTAGCCGGGGCTTGGACGGGCCCTGAGTCCACCAGCCCATCGGAGACCAGATCTCTGGCTGCCGTGTACCTCAGTGCCTGGTCTAGCTGACCATGGTCCCAGCTAGTGTCCACCCTCTGGGTCCCCTAAGAAGGGCAAGGAGGCTCCTGGGAATCAGGGTCTTCCTTGCAGGTAAGGTACTTGCAAACAGGGCCTCCCGGGGAGAGGGGTGGACCTGGCATGGGCCGGGGGCGTCCTGGGGGGGGGCAGGGAACAGCCTCTGCCAGCCCCCAGCGCCTGTGAGAGCCACCCCTCCGGGTAGCTCTAAACAACTGTCAGCTAAGGCATCACCGCCTGACATGAGGCCATGAGGAAGGCCGGCCGCCAGCGGGGGGTGCGCAGGCCCCCGCCCCCGCCGCCCGCCTGCTAATGCACTTTGCATTATTGTGCATCTCGCTTCCCTGAGAAGAGTGGAAGGGTGCTCTGGGGACCCTGCCTCTGCAAGGAGCTGGCGCCTCGTCCGCACAAATACCATTTACTCCTGATCTGCAGAAAGTTTCCTCCTGCGGGTCCTGTGTACCCGCCCCCTGCCTCACCGCCACGGCCCCTGCCAGCCCCCCGCCCGGCCCCTCTGCTGGCCAGGCCAGCCCTGTGGGTCCTCAGAGCCCGGGATATCCTGCCCCTGGGTCTCCTCCAGGCTGCTCACCCTCCCGTCTCTCTCCATCCTCAGGACTGGCCCCGGGAACCCTCCTGAGGAAGTTCCCAGGCATCACCAGACCCTCCTGGGCCTCCAGCTGGGCCTCCGAGTCGCCCACACCTCGGCCTCCAATGGCAAGTGGCCACTGAGCGCCTGGGCTGACCACGCGGGGGAACCCCACCAGGCCGAGCCAGTGTCCCTCCTCCAGGCGGCGGTGTGACCGCTGCCTGAGGGGCCCCCCTCGGCCTGGAAGGGCCACCAGCCCGGCCCAGCACAGCCGGCCCCTTGGCCACTCTACGGCCAGATGACTGGCAGGAACACCGTCACAGACAGAGTGAGACTGTCACCCCGCCAGGCTCCTCTGTCCATGGAATTCTCCAGGCAAGAATACTGGAGTGGGTTGGCATGCCCTCCTCCAGGGGAACTTAACACAGGACTCGAATCCGGGTCTCCTGCATTGCAGGCAGATTCTTTACCTTCTGAGCCACCGGGGAAGCCCAGCGTTAGCACCACAACCAGGGGCTTAACCCAAAGCTCATCCTCTTGCAATCTAGAGGCTGCAAGTTCCGAGGTGAAGTGTCTCAGCACCTCGCTCCCTCCGCAGCTCCTGGGAGAATCCTGTCAGCCTCTCCCAACTTCTGGGGCCCCTATGTTCCTTGGCTTGTAACTAACTGAGTTCTGAGGCCAGAATGGGCTTCAGCTCAGCGTGTTGCTGGCCAGCAGGGGCTGGCACTGGTATGGCGCCTTAGGGGGGACGGGAGAGATGTGGTTGGGGGGAGGATTTGATTTCTGTGTGACGAGAAGCTGGCCCAGGTGGGTGGTGTACAGCAGGGCCCTGACCCCATTCGTCTCATTAGCAGATGCGGGGAGGAGAGGTCGCTTCCCCACTCAATCCCAGCCCCGGCCAGAGAGGGACACAGATGGCCGTGGTTACTCTGGGAACATGGTCTGTTTCTATGGCGACTGGGCCTCCTGGTTTTGGTGGAGAATTGCCCACCAGGCCTTGGGAGTGGGGTGAGGGGGCAGGGGCAGAGCTAGGCCCCAAATCTTTGAGCAAGGAGCACAGCCTGCTTCTTGGACATCTGGGTGCCCGGGGTCCATGAGATGGGGCTTGGGATCGGCCAGAGAAAAGCTGCATGGGTCCCTGAGCAGATCTGAGCTCCCCAGTGGAGGGTCTGCCTCTCCCCGACCACTGGGGGGTCACTGGGGGCCCAATTCGCAACATCCCTGCCCCGTGTCCAGAGTGGGGCGCTCATGGTCAGATGCACAGCACTGCACCCTGAGCTTCAGCCTCGGCCTCTTTAGTGGTGTGTGAGCACCTAATGAGGTGTGCCATCAGGGAATTGTGCTGGATCAATAGGGACAATCCGGGTTTAGCCCTCCTTGGCCTGCCGTCTGTCCCCCAAGCTCAGCCTAGAAGACCCCAGAAGCTTCTTCCAGAGACTGGAAGGAGAAGTTATGGGGCTGGGAGCGGGAGGGCTTGGCTACGACCTATGAACGCTATGGCCCGCAACCCTCCTCCCCACCCATAGCCTGTCTATAAGCCTCACTCATGGGAGGCATCAAAGGCCTCAGAGACCCCGTGAAAGGCACCCCCCTCAGGAGGTCACTGTGGCCGGCGGGGACCCCAGGGTCTGCGCGGAGCAGAGAGGGGGTTCCATGGTCTGTGTCTGAGAGTCCTCACTGTAGAGTCCCCACTGCTGGGTCAAAGAAACCCTAAAACAAACCAGAACCACAGTGGACCTGGGAGCCTCCTACGGCCAGAGGCTGAAGAGAGGCTGCCCCTCTTACAGGGCGCAAGAGAGTGGACCCCAGCCCCGACATGGGCTCAGAGGGACCAGGCACATGGGGAGGCCTGGTTGTAGGGCAGGTGGTTGGCTGGGGCCCCCAGGTCCAGGGCCCAGGGGTGGGGGGCTGGCTGGGAACCCCTCTGTAAACACCCCCCAGCTTTGCAGGACATCTGCTGGCCGCCAGCACTTGGCACCAGGCTCAGCGTACATTTGCGCGTGGAAATCTTGGATGTGCGTTTTACATTCAACAAAGAGAAGGACTCGAGTCTGTCTGGCTCACGTGTGTGAATGTGTACGTGTGTGGCGGCCCCCCTCCTGAGCCCACATCCATCTGCTGGTTTGGGCTGCGACTTCACAGGCTGGGGAGGGCCCTGCCTCCCGGGAGAAGTGAGTCCTCAAGCATCAGGAAACCTGGACCCCCTCGGGGAAACTCAGCTGAGGCTACTGGCCTCCAGGGGGACCACAGCCTGGGGTGTCCAGGGGCCCCTGAGCCGATGGAGGGCTCGTGCCTCGGGGGAGTTCGTCCACTCAGCTGTCTGCCCCCGCTGCGGGACACCCCTCAGTGTGTAGACAGTCCTTGAGAACTGAGGGTCCCCATGATGTAGAGACCCCCACAATGACCACAGAGTCCTGGCATGTGGGCATGGAGACCCCCTACCCCCCGGGCAAGGGGGTCATCACATCATTTCCCCTTCAAAGCCAGCTGCCCCCCACTCCCCAGCATCACACTGACTGGGGGCCTGGGGGTCATGTGGCCTGGACCAGGCCCCCCGTGGGTGGAAAGCTGGAATGCCAGCAGGGGGAGCCTGCAGCCCGGCCCTGGAGGCCCCGCTTGCCTCACTCCTCAGCTGGGATGGCTGTGTACTCAGTGCCAGCCAGCCGGGGTCAGGGGACACCCTCAGATCAGGAACGTCCCAGTCTCTGTGAGGGTGTGACGTGGAAGGAGCTGGTGACCCGGGCCTGCAGAGACCCAGGACCCGGGCTTCCCCGGGGGCAGGTCAGCGGGTGGCGCCCAGGATGGTGGAGAGCCCAAGGCTGTGTTGCCTGCAGGTGGGAGAATGTCCTGCACCCTGGTGCCCAGGGAAGGCCAGGGTCCCAGCCGGTGTGACCCTCCTACGGGACCAGCCTTCTCCCTCATCCAGCCCCCAGTGCTTCCCAGAGGGTCAGCCGGGACCAGCCTACTACCTCACCCCTCCCCACCCCGGTTGGCAGGAGCACCAGGGTGAGATGGAGCAAGACCACAGTGGGGCTGAAGCCCAGCCACCCCGCAGAGTGGACGGCACAGCTCACCCGGCCAGCGGCTGGGGTTTGGCCCATGAGGAGAGGACCAGGGTGGACCAGACTAGAAGCTTGGTGGGCAGTGTCCCCAAGCCTGGATGGAGGCCCCCACTGTCCTCAGCCCTCCCCCCTAGGAAGCCTGGCACGTAGTCAGTGCTGTGGGTAGTTCTGGGCCCCCGGGGCGGCCGACTTCGATTTTGCCTCCCCTACAGCCAGCACCTTCTTTCCTGGAGTCTGTGGGATCCCCGTCCTCTGGCCAGTAGGGCCCTGGGCCAAGGGTCACCCTGGATCCCCAGGGAGCAGACAGGCCCCCCCCCCACCCCAGGGCCCTAGGACAACTACGGGAAAGCCAGGATTTCAGGCGTCTGGGGGCCGCACCCTGGTCCCCCACCAGCTGTGGAGCTGCACTCAGAGCCCCAGCGGGGGAGGCTCTGCTGGTGTGATGCGTGCCGCTGAGGATCACCAGGAGCAGCTGGCCCCGGCTGGGTCTGACCCTCACTTTCAGCCAGGCTGAGGGAACAGGCAGCCCTCAGGGTCCACTTGGGCCCAGCAGGAAGGCCCCAGACCTGAGTTCCCCTGTCACAGATTGTGGGCCGGCAGCTCTAAGCCGCTTGGAGGACTCCTGGGCCCTTCCCCTGACAGCAGGACAGGGGACACAGCGTTGTCCTCTCCGGGGACCCGGGGGCATCCGGGACACACTCCCCTCCTGCGGCCTTAGCGAGCGGCCAGCCCAGCTCCTGGCACTGAGGCTCCTCCACCCCCCGGAGCCCAGACACAGGCGATGCACGTGGTGGTTGCCTGGCAACCCCGCTGCAGCGCCGCGCCCCACGCCCACGCAGGCCAGTCCTGCTTCCCCCGGCACCTCCGGTTTGGCCAACCTGAGGGTGGGGCTGTGGGCGGGGGCATCCTGGGGTCTCAGCTGGGCTGGCCCCTCTGCAGACGAGCCACACAGCCTCTCCCTCACCCCCTGTGCTGGGCCCTGGGCTGCTGGCCCCGGGGGGACGGGTCCTGGTCAATGGGGGCATCTGCTGGTCCAGCCTCTGTCCTCAGCATCCGATGTCCAGTCCCAGCAAGAGGAAAAGAAAGCAGGGCCCCAACCGCCAGGAGCCCCTGCCCTCTTAAGCCTCCGAGCAGCCACGCAAGCCTCTGGGCAGGCCTCAGACCAGGAGACGGACTCCGAACAGCTGTGCTGGGTCAAGGTCTCAGACTGCGTGGCCCCTATTGAGGCCACACTGCTTTTTTGAGAGGTGGAAGACCGATTTTAGGCTGGCGAGTGACAGCCCCCCCAGGTGTGAAGTGTGATCTGCGCTCACCTGGCGGGTGCGATGCTCCCGGTTAGAGCAGTGACGTCTTCAGAGCGAGGGTGAGCCCCCCCCCCCCCCCCCCCCGCCGCATGGCGTCACACCTGAAGAGGAAGTCTGCGTGCCCCTCATCACCTGGGGTCACATGCTGGACCAGAGCTGGAAAGGGACCCAGGCCACCAGGTCTCACCGTTCCGGCTTCCACCCGGGAACTCACCCTGATGCGGGGACTGCCTTCATGCAGCCTGGTCTCTGCAGGGTCCCCAGTTCAGCCCTCGGGTGGCCCTCCAGCCGCCCACACCCCCAGGGCCGAGGGCTCCCCGCCCTGCAGTCCCTGCTCTGACAGGGGGCTGGGGACCTTGCTGTCACCCACCCGGAGGCAGGCTGACCACAGACACCGGCTCCTCCCTCCTGGTGTGGGGCCTCCAGCCTCCTGGCCTGGCTAAGCCACATCCCCTGGGCAAGGAGGCACCAGCTGGTCCTCCCCTCCAGGGACACACAGGCTGTTCTGTGTGGGGGGCTGGGGGTGGGACTGGGCCCAGGGCTCTTCCCCCTGCCCCCAAGCCCGGCCTACGAACCCTAGGGCAGACACGCACCACCCTGCAGTGTCTCTTTATTATTATTATTATTATTATTTATTTATCTTTGGCTGTGCTGGGTCTTTGCTGTTTGTGGGCTTTCTCTAGTGTGGCGGGGTGGGGGCTACCCTTGAGTTGCAGGGCACAGACTTCTCACTGCAGAGGGGAGGAGTGGCCCCTTTTGCAGAGCACAGGCGCCAGGCGCACGTGTTTAAGTAGCTGTGGCTACAGGCTCAGTTGCTCTGAGGCATGTGGGACCTTCCTGGACCAGGGATCGAACCTGTGCCCCCACGCTGGCAGATTCTCACCCACTGCACCTCCAGGAGCCCCCCCACTGAGGCTCCTACCTCCCCTCTGACCTCCTCTCTGGATGAGGTCAAGGCGCAGGTGAAGCCTAGCTCTGCAGACACCTCGGGTCCTGCAGGCCCGGGGGGCACCTGTATGGGCCTGGCAGCCCCCAGGGCAGCCCTCCACCCCTCCCTGCCGGGCCCTTCCAGAGGCACCTCAGAAGGTGCTCCAGGTGAGGGCGGGGCCCACGTGGCTGCCTTGAGGGTCCCTAGAGCTCAGCAGAAGGCCCAGGGGCTGGGATCTCCAGGAGTCCCCAGTCCTCAGAGCCTGAAGAACGTGTGTGCCCCCCCCCGCCCTGCTCCATCAGGGCTGTCAGCAGGGCTGGAGTGGCCAAGCCCAGCAGTTCCGTGGCTCTGAGATGAGTCCTTATGCACAAAACCAGTGAGGGGGGTCCCGCCCCCATTCCAGGGTGTTGGGGGCAGAGGGGCCGCTCCTGCATGCTCTCACCAGGGGTGGTGAATGCCGGGTAGCCAGCTCAGGGCTCCGAGAGCCCGTGTGTGACTGTTTGTTGGAAACAGAGAAGCAATATTTGCATTTCAAGGCCATCAGCCCTGGAAACCAAATATTTTGTTTGGGAATCAGGCCTGGCACACTGTGACGAGCAGACGCCCAGTGCCCATCGGGAAGGAGACAAGGCCGGAGTCTGGGGGCCCCTGGCGTCTCCGAGCGCCCAGCCCGAGGCGAGGGTGACACCCACACCCCCACTGGCAGATGGTGCCCGGCCACCTTCCCCTGGCCCCACCCCGTCCCCTCAAGTGATGCTCTGGACATCGGGGGCCCTGGGTGTGGCCTCAGCCTCCTGCAGGCTCCTGAGGGCCCCCGAGGCCTTTGCACTCGGCAGGCTCCCCCATAGTTCTCCTGGAAGCCTTCGCCCGAGCCTTCTTCTCTGGGAACAAGGGGCTCTGGCCTCCCTGACCCCCTGACCTCTGCCTCTGCTCCTTCAACTGCTCACAGAGCCCCCCAGGCTCAGCCTGAGCCAACACGTCCCTGGAGTGTTATCTTGCTTAACCCTCGGGGTGAAGTTTAAAGAGATTGTTTAAGGAGCGTCCTGGCAGGGATGGGTAACCTCTAACCCTGAAGTCTGCCCCTCCCAGCCTGTACTTCCTGCTGGCGGGACTGGGGCTCCAGCCTTGCTCGATTCGGCCTTTCTGCCTTGTCCCCAGGATCCCGTCTGTCTTGGCAGCCGAGTGGTGTCTGCACACACAGTGCTCCTTAGGCACTTTTGGATGAACAGTGAATCGGGGCTCCAGGGCCGCGCAGCGAGAGCCGCCTCCTCCTCCTGCCCTGCTCCTTCCTGCTCCTGTGAGTCACTCAGTCGTGTCCGCCTCTTTGTGACCCCGTGGGCTGTAGCCCACCAGGCTCCTCTGTCCATGGGATTCTCCCACTCCAGGGCAAGAATACTGGAGTGGGTTGCCATTTCCTCCTCCAGGGGATCTTCTCAATCTGGGGATCGAACCTGCGTCTCCTGCGTTGTAGGCTTTACCATCTGAGCCACCAGGGAAGCCCCCTCCCTACTTTCTTCTAGACGCCTAGCTGAGCCCAGCCCAGCCCTCCTCCTCAGAGGCCAGCTTTGCCCTCTCCCTGGAGCACTGGACAGCCTGGTCTGCAGACCAGAGGCATTGCCTGTGTACGTGAGCTGCATGGGCAGGGTGTCCTCTGTGCCTCCCGGGGAGAGCCTCAGGTCGGGGCCGGGGTCGGGTCACCAGGAGGCTCCACTACAGGCTCTGAGATATTGGAGGAGACTTTTGTCAGCCTTGGTTGCCCCTCTGGGAGGAGGAAGGGGGCCCACATCTCCATGGGGTCCATTCACCCAGGCGAGGTCCCCGCCAGCTCCCGCGGACCTCCGGGATGCTCGGGGCTGTCTCTTCTCTGGCTCTCGCTGCCCGGTGGATAGGCCCAGGGAGGGGACACACGCCCTCCCCCCACCACACCCGGGCCTCCTGACCCCATCAGGCATCTGGGGGGGCGGCCGAGGAGTCAGAGGTGGGGTCCCCACCCCGTCACCAGGTGAGGGTCACTTAAGTGGGGCCAATGGAGGGGCTCGGGGGTCCTGGGGCTTGTTACCCCCTGAGTGCAGGGCTAGGGCCCCTGGAGCCCACAGTGTGGGCTGTGGGCCTCCTGGCTCCACACACACTTCAGAGAGCCTCCGCCAGCCCAGCCCTAGGTCCAGAGGGGACAGGACAGGGGGCAGCCTGGGTGCTGGCTGTCAGAAGCTCTGTGGCGTCTGCATGCGCAGCCAGGTTGACCATATAATCGGGACCCTCCCCAGGCTCGGCGGGCGAGCAGCCCCTCCCCAGGTGGGCCCCTCCCACCTGGGCTGTGGCTGACGACATCACTACGGCCCCCAGCGGCCGCCTGGGCAGCATAGGACCCCCAGGCAGACGTGGGGCCAAAGGGCTTCGTTAGGAGGGAGCCGAGCTCTGCCTGGCCGCCCAGCCCCCAACCCAGGCTTCTCCCACCCGCCCTGGATGCCCCCAAGCTCCAGCACCAGGTCCCCACCTGGCCTCTCTGGAGGGCATCAGGAGGCCTTCCACAGCTGCCCACAACTGGTCGCCATGGCTGTTTCCGTGGGGACCACCCCTGCCCGGCCACTCCAGCTCTGCTGGAGGCAGAGAGGGACACAGTGAGGGGAGAGGGGCCCGGAGCTGCGCCAAAGCCAGGCTGGAGTCCCCAAGGTTCCTCAGGACACACGCAGGACTCGCACGTGGCCCAGGACCCGGGGAGCAGCCGTCTAACCGCAAAGCAGGACCCCTCCAGCTCCCCGTGGTGGGGATGACACCTCCCCCAGCCACCTCTCGCAGGGAAGTAGGGGTGGCTCACGTCAACCCAAAAGGTCTCTTCCAGGAACCCACACTGCCCACACCCTCCCACTCAGCTTCGACTCCCAGAGATGGAAATAGAAGGCACTTCCGGCTTCACTATTTTTTCCAAGATCTTTACCTCTATTGAAGAATAATTGCATGTAGTGAAAAGCTCAGATTTCAAGAGTACAGATCTCATGGGGTTTTGAAGAGTGAATAAGAGTTTGTTCTGGTGGGCAGAATAAGTAAAGACATTCTTACTAGAGAGACTGAAATCAGCAGCAGGTCAGTTTTTTTGTTGGGGTGGGGGGATCTTAGTTCCTCCATCAGGGTTGTAACCTGTACCCCCTGCAGTGGAAGCATGGAGCCCTAATCACTGGACCACCAGGGAAATCCCAGCAGGTCAGTTTGCTGGTATGAACCCTGAGGGGCAGTGATGCTATGAGCTGCGTCTGTGGTGGCCCATTTATCAGAGCTACAAGAGAGGTTCGGGGAGACTAAGAAGAGTACCCCCCAGGTTGATTATGGGATGTTGGCAGTGTGACTAGATCACAGCCTGTCTAGGAGATCCAGTGGAAATCTGGACTACCTTCCCGTGGCCCTTGAATCCGCGTCCAGGGAACTGTGTCCCGGCCAAGGCTGCTGGTTACCCCCTCGCTCTCAGTGTCTGCTACTCTCTAGTCACTGCCGAGGAGCCAGCAGCTTCGGGTGCGAAGCTCGGAGGCCTTTCCTGGGAAAGTTAAAAGGCCCTTTGCCCCCTGCCCCCGAGCTGTCCCCACAGCCCTCCCGCTGCGCCTGCCCAGGAGCAGAGTCAGAGCCTGGCTTCCAGCTCCAGCCTGCTCTCCCGCTCGCACTGTCTGTCTGTCCGTCCCCTGGACTCTGAGGCCCGCGGGGGCGCAGAGGGTCTCCTTCACCCAGGTGATGAGTGGCAGGCAGTGTCTTCTCTTCCCAATAAAACCCCCCCACATACCCCCTCCTGCAGCCCCAGCGCCCCCTCCCCACTCGAGGTCTGTGATGGGGGTGGTTCCATCCCCAGGTCCCTCTTGATGTACCCTGACCCCTGACCCCCGACTTCCCTGCCATCCCAAGAGTGTTGCCCCCTCTGACACTGACTCTCTGCTCTGGGGGCCTGCAGAGCAGGTCAGAGACCAGAAGGAGAGTCGGAGGCAGGGGCCCAGGGTGCGGGGCGGCCAGGTGGCGGGAGGAGCGTCTGAGCTTCCTGCCTGAGACCAGCAAGGGGGAATCTGGGTCACAGGCTTCCGGGCCTGGCCGCCACTTCCCAGTAGCCGGCGGTGGAGGCGGGGGGCTACAGAAGACCCTAGGCCTCTGTCCTCCCAGGCTCTGACCTGTTTCCCCCTGTCTGTGTGTCTGTCTCCCTCCAGCAGGAGACCCTGACAGATGGACAATCAGGGCCCAGTCTCAGAGCTCGTTCTATGTTGCAGCCTGTGACCGCCCCACCGCAGGCACAGTGGTTCAGCCCATCCTACAGGTGGAATTGCGGCGAGTCGTGCAGTCCCGAGGTAGAGTGCCAGTCCTTGGCCTGAGCCCACGCCTGCTCCAGGGCCAGGGGAGGGCTGGGCGGGGTCGAATGTGTCCCGAGTGCCCCCCATCCCCCGTGAGGATTTGGGCCCCTCGGGGCCTCCCCCACCCTGCCCTGCTGCTCCTTCAGCCCTGCTCATGCCCTTGCGTCCAGCCCCAGAGCTGGACCGCCTCAGGAAGCTCCGGGTCTACCTGGAACGTGGCCGTCATCCTGGCCCGGGGCACGGGCTGTCTCTCCCAGTTCCCAGGGTCTGTAAGACATCACGAGGGGCCGGCCGCCTTGCTCACTTCCTCCAAGAGGCCCTGACATTCCGCAGACGCGGCTCGGCCTGGCCACGTGGGTGCTGCGTGTGGGAAGCCACCCGCCCGGGCGGGAGCTGAGCCGGACACCTGGCGCCCCTCCAGCCCCGTCCTGGCTGCGCGATGGCCTCCCAGCTGCAGCTGCCCACAGACCCGCGGCGCAGAGGGCCGCCCGGGGAGGGCTCCCGTGGCCCCCCTGGGAGCTGCTGAGTTCTCATGGGGACCCTGGGCCTGGGACTGGACGTCTGCCCCCTACCAGCCGGGCAGAGACAGTGGGGCCTGGAGACCGAAGGCCAAGGGGCTGCACCCCAGCTGCCCCACCCCCTCGGTGCTCAGCTCGCCGCACCTTCTGGAGGAGTCAGGGGGTCAGACTGGGAGAGGACACTGCAGCCCAGAAACTCCAGAACAGCCCCTTGGCGGCACCAGCGCTTTCTTAGGGGACAAAGACCAAGCCTTCCAGTTCGGAAGGAAGGTTGAAGGGAAGGGGAACTTCGGGGATGGGTCGTTCCCAGCCTCAGGGCACAGGCCGTCGTCTCTGGTCACTGAAGGTCCCAGCTGTCCCCAGCACAGTCCCCACATACCCTGCCTGGTCTTCCTCCACTCTTGGACTCCAAGTCAGGAACCGGGGACCACGGGCTCGGCCCTGCCTGCCTGTCCATCGAGGGACCAGACTTGGGCTCTTAAGGGGCCCGGGGCCACCCAGGGTTACACATGGTTGACCCCCAGCTCAGTATAAGTGACACTGGCTGGTAGGTTGAATTGTTTCCCTCAGGAGATAAGTTGGAGTCCCAACCCCCAGCAGCTAAGTCAGGGTCCCGACCCCCAGGAGATAAGTCGGGATCCTGACCTCAGTACCTGGGAATGGACCTTATTTGGAAATTGCTCTTTGCAGATGAGTCACTGGGGACCCTGGTCCCTTGGGTGCTGTCCTTACGCGAGAGGAGACTCGGCGACTCAGACACACAGGGGAGGCCGAGTGATGACGAGGCAGGGGCTGGAGGGAGCTGGGCGGAGCAGGAAGAGCCCCGAGGCCTCCTCGCTCCTGGACTGTGGCCTCCAGAGCGTGGGAGGATGAGCTCTGCGCCGGCTCCGGTCGCCTGCAGCCCCGGGGGAGACACACACCCCATGTCCTCGCCCCGCTCCCCGCAACGGTCCCTCCAGCCGCCCGCCCCCAGGTCGCCTCCCTGCTGGACAGTGCTGGACGTGAGCCAGTCTGGCCCCATTGCACCCCTGCCCCTCACCACCCCACCCCCACCACCTGTCAGACTCAGGTGGGTCCCCAGGACTCCAGACGGGGAGCCCTAACTGACACTGCCCGAAGGGGGCTGGTGCCAGGGGAGCCGGGGTGGGTCTCGCTGGCAGCCGTGGTCCTCCGGCCTGATACCCCTGCTGGGAGCCGCTCAGTCAAGGGCGGTGCTGAGCACCCACTGCACGTGGGGAGTTGCCGATGCCGCCAAGCCTGCAGCACTTAGAATCCTCGTGAATGGCATGGGGCAGGGGGATGACAGTGTGTGTAACAGCAAACCGGCCCAGTGCTGGCAGGCTTCCTGGAGGAGGCAGCACCTCACAGTCACAGGAGCACTTGCAGGGAGTCCCTACCCCCAGGCCTGCTTGGCACAGTTGGCGCTCAGTAAACAGGGTCCCACGGAAGGGGCTGGAGACGCCGTGTAAGCACCCGCCAGCGGTCAGCCCTGAGAGATGGGCCAGTTGTCCCCTCGGAGGGAGAACCCTTGAGCTCCTGCTGTTTCGCTGGCCAAGTGAGGCCTGCCCTGTCCAGGACTGGTCCCCACATCTCCCTGGGCCACCGTGCTCCCTGTCAACTCATCCTGTTTAAATATTTAATCCTGTTAAATATTAAACCTCTTCCAAGCCCCAGTTACAATCAGATCGATTCTGGGCTGCGGTTGTGCTGTCTGCTGGCGTTCTGCCTCCTGGCGCCCAGGTTGGCCCAGGGTGCGTGTAGGGGGAGAGGGCCCACAGGTGCTGCCAACGCATGTCTGGGGGCAGGAGGCAGACGGGCCCCAGGACCCCGGAGGAGGCCCCTCTGCAGCCCAAGGCAGGCGTCAGCCCAGAGCCCGGGGCGGGCAGCCCCAAGCCCGCACAGCTGTCCTGCTTTTGTGGCCACGGCCGCAAGTAGGCAGAAGCAGGGTCTGGCATCTGTCTTCTGGCTGTTCTGTGAACCAGCAAACCCTCCTCTCCACTCTCACCAGGACCCTGTCTTTGCCTGGGTCCTGCGGCTGCCCCAGGTCCAGCCTCAGCAGGAATTTACTCCTAGTTATCATATCCATCCAAGTCCATGTTTGGACTCCGTGTGTCTCTGGAATCTGACGTGTCTCGGCTCTCACCAGTTCTGGAGGATTCTCGGCTATAACGGTCCCACTCCCGCATCTCCTTCCTTTCTTCTCTGGTACTCCTTCCAGGGCAGGCGTCGCAAATTATTTCAGGCTTCGCCGGCTGGAGTGTCTTTATCAATGATGTGACTGCAGCTTCAGTGTGAGAATTCACAGATGACACATGAACTCCTGGGCGAGGCTCTGGTCACCCACCGCTGATCTCCTGACCTCTCTTTCGTTTACTCCATCTTTTGACCCCTCTGTGGGGCACTTGGGATGGTCCCCAAACCTTTATCTTCCAACTCACTAATTCTCTCCTCAGCTTCGCACAACGTGATGTCCACCACACTGTGCAAAGCTCAAAGGTCATCCTCACGTCTCCGAGTTCCACTGCCCTCCCCATGACGTCTCACCCTTCCCTGGGGTCTTAGGCTCCTTCTTGTGTGTTTTGAGCACTCTTCCGCACCCTTTTCCTATTCCTTCTGTAATGGTGTGTGTGCGTGCGTGTGTGTGTGTGTGTGCGTGAGTCGCTCAGTTGTGTCTGACCCTTTGTGACCCCATGGACTGTAGCCTGCCAGGCTCCTCTGCCCATGGAATTCTCCAGGCAAGCATACCACAGTGGGTTGCCATTCCCACCTCTGGGGATCTTCCCGACCCAGGGATTGAACCTGAGTCAGCTCTTTCAAAAACTATTTGTTCATTTATTTTTTTTTTGGCTGCATCTTGAGGAATCCTAGCTCCCCACCTGGGATGGAACGTGTGCCCTGGGCAGTAGAAGTGTGGAGCCCTACCCGCCGAACCACCAGGGAAGTCCCCAGCTCCCGTTTCTGAGCTCACGGAGCCGATCTCCTTGTGAGCTGAAACTGATGGAGGGCTGTACCTTCAGAGGAGTTGACAGCTCATGCTCTAGGGACCTGGGCTTGTCGCTGGCCCAGTTTCTCGGTCATGTCTTGGTTGGAGGATTCCTAGGCCTGCAGGGCCTGTGGGAGGCCAGGCTGTGGTCTCAAGTCCCGGGACACACCTCTCCCTCCTGCCTGGGGGCCAGGCGGACACAGACAACACCAGCGCCTGGACCTGTCCAGCCTCCCGGTCCCCAGTTCTAACCCCCGCCCCACCCCCACCCCTGCCAGATGGAAAGCCTTAGCAGTCGACGCCGAATCCCCTGGTTAGGAGACAGGAACACAGGCCATCCCAGCCCCTAATCCAGACGGTGAGCGCACAGCCCAGGCTCACCACCTGGTTCCCCGTGCCCGAAACCTCCTGTGGTCTGTCTGTGTCCCCCAGATCCACATGTGCGAACCTGAGCCCCAGGTGATGGTGTCAGGAGGCGGGGCCTTCGGGAGATCACCAGGCTGTGAGGGTGGAGCCTCGGGGGGAAGCAGCGTCCTTACGAAGGAGATCCCTCAGAGCCCCTCTCTCCCCACCCGGGCACAGAGATAGGTCGGCCACCGGCAGCCCAGCCACGTGGGCACCTGGCCTCAGACGTCCGGCCTCTGGACCTCAAGGAGGAAATCCCTCTGATGGACGAGCCGCCCAGCCCGCTGCATTCTGCGCCGGCCACCCCAGCAGCCGCCAGTCCCTATCATTCCCTTCCTTCCCGGGTGAGCTGAGCAAGGCCTTGGAGCAGCGTCTGCGGTGTTTTGTCCAGTGTTTCCAGTGTCAGTGGGTGGGGTTTTCAGCTCATCTTTTGCTCCTCACTGCTGCTGCCCTGGGCCCCCCACCCCACCCCATCCATCCTGGAAGTCCCTGCAGGGCCACGAGCCCCTCGGCCAGACCCTGGCTCCCACTGGACACCCAGAGGGGACAGAGACCACAGCGTCCAGAGGGGAAGTGGTGGTCAGCGTGGGCTCTGGGGATGCAGGGCAGGCTTTGTCCTCGTCCCAGCAGGGCTGTTAAACACAGGCTGTCCGCACTCCAGCTGAGGAGGGATAAAAGAGAGAGAGGATGCAGGTCTGGCACCGCGAGGAACTGACCGGCCAGGCGGCCGTGGCGATGCTTGATGGAGCCACGGGAAGCGGTGGAAATGGGACCACATGGCGGCGGAGGACACCTCCCGGGGGATCTGGGGCACCCTGGCCCTGAGGCCAGAGCATGAGCCGCAACAGGGCGAAGGAGGGCTGAATGCCGAGGGGAGTCGGGAGCGAGCGCTGGGGTGGTGGTCAGGCAATGGTGGTCATGAGGGCAGGGCCCTCAGAGAGAGCCCCTTGAGAGTCCCCCGACCTGGCTCGGTCATGGAACAAATACTGGCCCCAAAGGCACAACCCCTCTTGATCCCCGGACCTGCGGGCAGGACCTCACCTGGGAGAAGCATCTTTGCAGATGGAGTGAAGGATGCTGATCATCCAGACAGGCCCTGAGTCCAGTCCCTTCTGAGACAAGAGAGGGAGGTAAGACATGGCCACACACGGGAGTCGGCCAGTGACCAAGGGGCAGGGACAGAGGCAGACGGGACTCCCCTGGCAGCTCTGAGGGTGCACGGCCCCTCAACCCCTTGGTGTTGGACTCTAACCCAGGCTGAGAAGGTAGATCCTGCTGTTTGAAGCCCCCTGGCATGTCTCTGTGGACCCCAGAGACCACACAGGGCTCCTCAAGAGCAGAGACCCCTTGGGGAGCATGAGTGCCAGCACTGTTTACAGCACTGACCAGGCACTTCCCGTGTGGGGACCGAGCATCCCATGCGGGGACCAGGGATCCCGTATGGGGACCAAGGATCCCGTGCGGAGACCGAGCATCCCATGTAGGGACCGAGGATCCTGTGTAGGGACTGAACTTCCCGTGTAGGGACCGAGCATCCCGTGTAGGGACCGAGGATCCTGTGCGGGGACCGAGGATCCCATGTAGAGACCGAGCTTCCTGTGTAGGGACCGAGCACAGCCCCTGCCCAAAGTCCCTGGGGACCCTCCCACCGCCCATCTCCTGGCCACAGAGCAGCCCCAAGAGCACGTACTGGAGGTCCTGGGTCCCAGCGGGGGCAGCCGAGGATCCCCAGCCCCCGTGCCCTGTGCTGCCTCGCTCAGGGCTGAGATGTCGCTTCCTCCGCCCTGGGCGCAGGATCAGAGGGGAGGAAAGATGAGAGCGTGAGTGAGAGGATGTGTGTGGCCTGGAATCAAAGCCTCTGCGGAAACCGCGTGCCTGTGGGAACCTCGGCCACGTCAGAACACACGGACTGGTGCTCAGGCCCGGGCCCCGTGGCCACGCCCCACACCGGCTGCCTGCCCCTCCCTGCTCCAGCGCGAGGCTCCCTCGGTCTCTGCTCTTTGTGACTGAGGACAAAGGGACCTGGAGCAGAGGATGTGTGCAGGCCCCTGGAGGCTGGGCAGGCATCTCTGCACGCCTTGCTCTCAAGCAGCTCCCGGAGGTGCAGTTCTTGTGCAATAAACCACATGTGTTTGAAGTTGGACACACGCGATGCCTGTGAAACCACCAAGATCAAGACAGCGGAAACCGCCAGTCTCCTCGGAAGTCAGGAGCTCCCCACGCCCTGGTGTCGCTGCAGGTGGACTGACGAGGATGGCGGGCAGAGGTGTGCCCTACCCCCGGCTCCCTTACCTCAGCCTCTCTGCTCCGGGCTCCGTCTGCACCCAGCCACCCTGCCTGCCATGTCCTTGTGCTCCTGGGCTGCCTGCTGAGGGCATTCAGGTCGTTTCCAGTGCACGGCTTGAGTTTGCACTCTGGACGTTTGTTCTGCCGCTAAGTCGCATCTGACTCTTTGTGACCTCGTGGACTGCAGCAGGCCAGGCTCCCTTCTCCCTCACCATCTCCCGGACTTTGCTCAAACTCATGTTGGTTGAGTCAGTGATGCCATCCAACCATCTCATCCTCTGTGTCCCCTTCTCCTTTTGCCTTCAATCACATTTGTGTCCCCCTAAATTCACACACTTACACCTGACCCAGTAATGGTTTTAGGATGTGGGGCCTTTGGGAGGTGATCAGTCAGAAGGGTGGGTTAGAGACTAGGCAGAGAAATGGAAA